CCTCTTCCCAGTGAGGAGGATGGAAAGGGGTACACTCAGGGGCAAGCTGCACCCCCCGCCAGTCTCCATGCCACCATTCGGAGTGACGGCATTAGTTAACCAGGTGAATTCTGGTTGAAGCATCATTCCAACCACCAGGTGGTCCCTGACTTACGCCCCTTTGCTGGACATGTTCCCCTCCATCGTCCAAGCTGCCCCTCCAGCTGTCATCCAAGCTGAGCCTCCGACCGTCCCCTCCACAGGCTGGGCGGGGCCAGCTGTGGCCAGGCAGGCAGCCAGCTCTGGGTCAAGGGCTAACTAGCAGGCCAGATCCTGCACAAACCCGCACTGGGTCAGAAGGCATGGCCAGGGGCTGCTGAGGGCAGAGCCTGGGCTGGGGGAGGGGCGGGCCCTTGTCTGCATGGGGGGTGCTGCCCAGAGAACCACGAATATTTAGGAACTGGAAAACCTGCTGACCTACAAGCGGAAGGTGATAGAGCACACGCTGCAGGTGGAGCAGGCCGCCCAGGAGCCCTCACGCGCGCTCAGCCCGGAGGAGATGCTGCAGAGGTGGGTGCCATGGCGAGGCGGGTTGGGGGAGACGGTGGGAGGACATGGAAGGAGCCAGTCACGGGGCCGGAGGAAGGAGCTTCAGTGGCAAGTCCACACCAAGCCTGCTTCTCTCTGTGCCCACCTGGGCCTCAGGCTTCCTGGCACCATTGCACCTGCATCTGCCTCACTCTCCCCTGTGCAGCGACGCCCCCTGCTCTCCCCTTGCACACTCTCTCCTTGAGCATCTGTGCTCCCTCTGGGCCCTCCCCAGGCCTGTCCCGGGCCCTGGCTCACTGCCCTCCTCTGGGCCTCAGCCAGGTGGCACTTCCTCTGAAGCCTGTCCCGACCCCCAGCGCCTGTGGGTAACCGCAGGTCGGGGGTGAGCACGCTGGCTGTCACTCCAGCACCTGTCTGTGCCTGGTGGGCAGGGCTCCGTGGAAACACCCCGCCCCACGGATGTGACAGCCCCTCCACCCGCCTGCGCCCTGGCGGGGTGGCCTCCCTTTCCCTGCCCTCTCCTGACCCACGGCACCCAGCACCCTCCGTCTCCCCAGGTTCCTGAAGAATAACAGCCACGTGGGCGAGGAGTGCGGGGAGCTGCTCCTGCAGCGGGGAGCCACCCAGGTGCCCGCAGGTAAGGCGCTCACCGCCCGGCCCGCTCATCCGCACGGTTCTTGGTGGAGCCATAATAACCAAGCTTGTCTTGGGCCAGGCGTGATCCTATGTGCTCTGCAAGTAGCATCTCATTTAATCTTCCACTGCCCTCTGCTCAGCCCGTTTGGAGCAGGAGAAACTGAGGCTCGGCAAGGCCAAGTGACTTGTGCCGTCAGACGGTGCTGCACACCCCGGAGGCTGCTCGCTGTGCGGGTCCTTGCAGTGGGTGCCCGTGTCTGAGGCTGGGCTTTGAGGGTGTCCTAAGGGGCCGAGTGGCTTTGAACGGGAGAAGTGGAGCTGATGGAGCACTGGGCCCGCGTTGTCTGCTTCGCTTCCCGTTATATTCATTCAGGAAACTGTTGGGGACCACAGGAGACTTGGCTGGAAAGTTGTAAGGAGGACAGTCTGAGAAAGAGGGAGTGTGCGGAAGGCCGCCTGCCCTGTTTATGAGTATCCCTTGACCTTTCCAAACAAGTCTGTGCTCGTGCAGACCCCGGGTGTTTACTGGAATCCTTATACTTAATCCCCGGATGCCCTTGCCTAGAGGACAGTGTTAACACTTGTGTCCTCCCAAGATTACTTACCCCACTGATTGTGTCTAAAAGATAAACTTTATCTCAAGCTGCTGCTACAATAAAAGGCTAGTGAGGCAGGCAATCGAGGCTGCTTGGCTGCTATCAGCCAGGTGGTCCCTTAGCCCTCTCTGGACAGCGAAGCTGTCACCTGTTCATCCGTCGTTCAGGGGTTGCTGGTCAGCCCGGCAGGAAACCTTTATGGAGAGAGCTCTGTGCCCGCCCCCAGCCCGGCTGAATGTGACTCCAGTTTATAAAGTACCAAGGAGGCGGGGTCAGAACCCAAAGCCTGTGGGCGCTGGGCAAGTTGCAGAGTTAACCAGCTGCTGGGAGTGAGCGGTAGGGAGTGGTGGGGGCTGTGGAACTGGCCCAGCCTGTCCTTCTTATGGTAGGAACTCAGGCCTAGTCTGGTCAGAATTTCCAGTTGCTCAAGAGAAGCCAGAGGCCTGCTCTCTTGTATTGTTTTCCAGAAATTGCAGAAGCCAGAGGTCAAAGGGACTGGACAAGACCAGGCACTGTTTTTCCTCGGCCGCCAGTCTGACCTGTGGTGGGGGATTGTCAGTTATCATTGGAGCCTCTGCCTGCCCCTCCCTGCAGATCCTCATGGACAGAGGGCAGAGGGCCTGGGCCAGGCTCCCCATGTGCCCACACAGATGCGCGCCCAGGGGCCCCTGGAGCAGAAGTGGGCTAATCGGGAGGCACGGAAGCCGATTAGGCCAGGCCAGGGTCACGCGCAGAGATGAGCACAGATGCAGAACCGGGTGACTAGGGGGTGGGAGAGGAGGAGGCGGAGTGGCAGTTGCCTGGATCAGTGTGTGGGGACCAGCCCCTCTGCAGTGGTCGTGGCCCTTTGGGCCCTGGGTTAGCCTAAAAGAAGACCAGGCGGGTTCCCAGACGCCACGGGCACTGGGCGGTGACATTGGGGGAGCTGCCCCCCTGCCCGCCCCCAGAGACCCTGACAGCCCCCATCCGTCCTGGAGCAGGGCAGGGGACTGACACCTCCATCACTGGACCTGACCCCTCTGAACTCTGCGTTCGCTTCCTAGGGCTTCGGTTACAAATCCCACAGGCCAGGGCTTACCTCTCCGTTCTGGAGGCCAGAAACCCAAGGTCAGGTGCTGGCAGAGCTGTGACAGACTCTGAGATGCCTCTGTCCGAGCTTCCTGGTGGCCCTTAGCTGTGTGCATGCTCCCTTGGGGGAGGCCGGAGCTAGCAGGATGCAGAACAGGGTGGCGGAAGGCGCAGGAGGTGGGCGGAGCTTGCAGTGTGACATTCAGGTAGAAGGGGCTGGGTGGGCCTCCTGGAGGAGGTGACTTTTGAGCAGAGCAAAGTGGTGCAGGTGAGGGCGTGGTCACAGGGAATCCAGGAGGGAGGTGGCCTGGGAGAAGAAAGGTGCCGGCCAAGGCCTGTGGGAGAACCAGGGGGCTGTGAGCAGAGTGGAGAGGGGCGGGTCCCTGGCTACCTTCTTATTTGCGTGCTGCCTCTGATGGGCCTAGGCCTCTGGGAACAGCTGGAGGGATTGGCCTGAGGGGAGAACTCAGCTCTGGTTCCCTAATGACTGCAGTGCCCAGCCCCTGCCACCTGCCCTCCCCACAGGCTGCGTGGCCCCGGGGTTGTGGGCAGGATTGGTTTCACTTGTGTAGTTTAAACCCCAACATTTGGCCTGGAGGGGAGTTTGAACAGGTTGTTCATATATAAAACAGAAAGGTTTTATGCAAAAATGGAATTCTCAGTTTCTGTTGAAAAATGGGAAGGCCTGGCAACATTCTGTTTCCCAGGAGCAGCAGCTGCTGGCACGGCCCACCGCCAGGAGTGGCACTGCTGGCCAGAGTCTGTGACCT